TGCTGTTTTCTTTCGTGCGTTTCCAACGCAAGATACGTAGATAACACGCGCGCTTAAAAATTATTAAAAAGATATTATAACACAAGTACATATTTTTATACGCATATTGAAGTGGTGTCAAACAGATGCGATACTAACGGTGCGATACGATATCGTATTTGATGCGATAACGTTAAAAAGCAAAGGCCCGCAAACATGTGCGATATTATTTACACTGCGGTGCTTCATATTTCTTATGGCAATTTTTTATATTCCGAATACTTCAAATCAGGACTTCTAAAGTAAAGGAGCAAAGAATTTTAGCTGGAGGGGAGCTGGAACAAGGAGCTAAAAAAAAAAAACATTTGCTTCTAAGCTCCTTAAAGAAAAGTTTTCAACAGTTTGTTTTTTTTTTCTGGCCCAGTAGCGATTTATTTTGAAATGTTTTTATTGTAGTTTTTCCACAAAAATTTTCAATAATAACGGCCTCAGGCTCAATAAAAATTAAAAATATAGTTCAGTTAAGAAATTTACTTAAATATTATTTTTTTGCCACGAAATATAATCTTGTTAAATATTTCCATTCTATTTAATCAACTTGGCAATATTCTCTTTTGGATGCAGAAGTATTCCCAGGACACTTAGATCAGTGGTGCACACAGGAGTGTCCGATAGCAACTCCGCTTTCACATACAAGTCGTAAGTGCGCAGCTAATGAACTGTTCCCAGCAAAAAATGGTGTAAGCAGTTGTAAGAAATAAGCAATACGCTAGCAGCGCTGCTTGCAGCGTTTTTTACATGATCTATAAGCCTTATAATAAGGTTTCTATACTCCATCTGATGCCTTATTATAAGGGATTATGTAAGCCTTATTTTATTTGACCTATAAGACTTAAGGTCTGATTATACATACTTCGCACAACTTTGCATAAACTTTTAACTGTAATTTCGGACTTATTTTGTATGTATTCCATAACCCAAATTAGCAGAACTTGGCGATCTGTTGAGTTTAGATTTTGCTTCACATTTTATTAAGATACATTTTCATTAATGAATTGCACTGGTACAAATGGTTGTGCGAAATTATGCGAATATGCATAATCAGACCTTTAGGCATAAGGGCGTCTCTCAGAGAGAGAGAGAGAGCGAACCTCATGAACCGACGACATCAACGCAGCGAAATGTGGTGTTGATTCAAATTCTACATTTGAAAGCACATTTACACATTTGGCTGTAGCTGAATGTGCAAAGATGCTTGATACAATTGGTTGCTGCCAAGGCTGTCCTTGTTCAATCCCCATCAGACGGAACATGAAATTTAAGATTTTATTTTATTAAATTTTTATTTATTTTTCTTAATTATGAAAAGGCCTTCGTGAAGTATAACGTGAAGCAGACGTTTATTTTATATGATCTATAAGCCTTATTATAAGGAAATTATACTCCATGTAAGGCCTTATTATAAGGAAGTTATACTCAATGTGAGATCTTATTTTAAGGGCTTATGTAAGCCTTATTTTATATGGCCTATAAGACTTACAGGCCTATTCTGCTTGTAACCGAATATTTTGTAACAAGCTAATTTTGTTACCAACAATTGTCACCACTTCTTACAACCGCAATTCTATTTACCTTGGTAACGTTTTAATTTATTCAGCAATTCAGCTATGGAGTTTTGTTGAAGTTCTGGTGTTGCATATTTCACGGGGCAATATTTTGTTACCTGTTCATGAGATGGTAACAAAATTTACTGGTTACAAGAGTGTGGAGAATA